TCATTATGTGGATTTTATCTGATAGACTATCAAACCCCTCAACAAAACACAGTAAAGTAAAACCTCTCAATAAAACTCCAATGGGCATCTTTAAAAACAGATTTTCCTGAGACTGACCTGGTAGATGTGTGTTTCACTGGTGGCGTCCACAGTCTCCTGCAGTTTGGGTGTGTAAACTTTGATGTCTTTGCTGAAAGCTTTGCAGGACTCAGCCAGGTCCAGACTTGCTTCTGGTGGCCCGTGAACGATCACAAGCTGTCTGGGCTTCATCTGATTTATGATCTTCTTTATGGAGTCGCCATCAGAGCGACCTTCGTAGTCTATATATGTCACCCTCGCTCTATAACATAGAAGAAGAACACAGGGTCATTGTAAGAGTTTTATAGATATGGAGATTACACTGGTGTGGTTCACTTTGTGAGTGATGACTCACCTTATTTCAAAATTCTCAACACTTGAGACACATTTTGTAGGAACGACAGACAAATCCTGGTCCATGGGTTCATCACCATTTGTCAGCCCAGATTCTAGTTTGCTCTTCTCCTCTTCTGTGGCTTGCAGTTCAGGAACCAAAAAATCTTCAATCCTTTAAAAAAAAAAAGAAAAACACACACACACGATAGGTTACTTGGTGATTAAAAAAATGATCTCTACATCCTTCGATTTGCATTCAGACTTCAGTACCTGATGATTTCTCCATACTCGTCCCATTTGATTCTCTCCTCATGCACCGGGAACATGGGATATGACTTTTTGGCCTGTTTGAAGAAGCTTCCTTTGCGGCTCCCTTCGCCCTTCATCATCAGGTCATGGTGTTTGGTTTTCACCGCAGCCGGCTGATCCAGATCATCTTCCATATCGCTTTCGTCGCTCGAATCCACATCCACCCTGAAAAAGCCATAAAGAAAACTTAATTCCATCTAAAAATCTTCCTTACAACTCATACACCTTATGACATATTTTCATTTGTAATCAGGTGTAAATAATTGAGTTTAATGTACTTTTACTAGATCAGAAAGCATGCATTGTGGGACTTTATTAGCCCCTCTTCAAATACAATTATTAACTTTCACAAATATTTTACTTATTAATTATATTCCATGTTAAAAAACAAACAAAAACAAAAGAACAAAAAAAAAACTTGTAACCGTACTGTAAAGATTCAGAGATTATTCAAACTTACTCTTTGGCTTGCTCCAGTTTTTTAGCTGTTTCTTTCTTTATTTTCTCCTTTTCAAGATATTCGTCCAGCTCCTTCCCTTCCAATTTTACTCGTTTTCTCACCTGATGTGAAGAGAAGAGTTAATTATGACACTGGGATGCTGAAGCGCAGCTATAAATGGCAGAATTTTTCAGGGAAGATTCTGCATGAACACCTCTCTCACCTCCAAATCCAGCATCTTTTCTCCAGGATTGTCGATGAGATAGCGGGCCAGGGTGCCAGGCGTGGTGCGGTAGGTAAGGATGATGGAATTTTTAGCATTTTGGCACCACTGGGTGAAGAGCTCCCTGGAGAAGCCAGACTCAAGGTCCGGTTGGCTGCAAAGCACCACCTTGGGGCTGGGTACCCGGGCCAGGTCTGCCAGACTGTGGCAAAGGTTTAAGTGTCGGAACTGGAATGGATTGTTCCTTTTGTCCTCAAAACACCTCATGAGTTTGTCACTCATCCACTCCACCTACAGAGATGGGTTTGGTTTTTACACACACACACACAAAAAAAAAATAACGCCAGTGTGGAAAAACTAGAAAAGCAAATCTTATCATAAAGATGATGGAAAGACCCGAAAACACTCTAGCAAACAAGACATTTTTAATTCAAACCTCAGTTTCAAGATGCACTAAATCATTAACTAGAACTGGATTTTATTATTAGGAAAACATTTCCAGAGTAAGGTCAATTTTCTCTCAAACCAATACAGACAACAGACTCATTAATCCATGCTTTTGTTACTCGCAGATTGGATCCCTGTTCTGCTCTTTTGTCTGCAAAAAACAATTACAAAGTTGCAACACTTAAAAGTTTATTTTTTCTTGTTTGCAAAGCTCTTAATGGCCTTAGAAGAGCTCAGTTATACTACAAAGACTGCTAGACAGCTTTGAGAAATATTCTGAACTCTTTGTAGCTGTTTATTAAATATTCCAATAGTCATAAGTTAAGCATATGGCGAGGCTCTGGAGCATCTTTCCATAACATACAGAGTTCTTAAAAGCAAACTGAAGACATCTTTTCTGAGATCTTAAAAGACACAATTTATTATTCTGAAGTTTTTAAATAAGCATATAACTTTCAATTTGAGTTTAAGAATATTTTTAACTGAATAGCTTTATTTAACATCTGTGTGCATTGTTTTTTGGGGGGGATATTTTACTTTTGGCTTTTTAGCTATTTTGCTTCAGTTTTCATTTTACAACCATGTTTTGTTGTATTTCTTAAATCACTATTTGTTATTAACTTGTTGTAAATCTAAAGAAGAAAACTGATCACAACATTCATGCTCATATCTGTTCTACAATTGAAATACTTAATGTTTTTGTGTCTTTGAGACTTAATTAAAACCAAAATTAAGATGTATAAAAGTGTGATACTGATTGGTACCTGGGACTTGGAGAACTCCACCACGTTGTAGCTGACGTTGTTGAGCAGTGCTAGAGGGTAAACTCCAAGCCCAGCATCCTTCGTCCTCCAAATCTGGTCGAGGAGCTGCGCTAGCTCCAACACGCGGCCGGCCGTATCCACGGCAATAAGGACATTGCCATTTCCACGCAGGGTCTCCATTACGTTCGCTTTGTGGGTATTAAAGGAGGATGATGATACAGCCATTAGTAAAGGCACAGACAGAGTTTTCTACATAGTCTCATGTTTATTGAACTGAAGGTGTTTTTTTTTTTTACTGTAAAGACTTCTGTGTGCATTACTCACTAAGCAGCTGCTCGTCTCTTTGTTTGCGGCGTGGCTGTACATAAGCAGCATTGAAGGAATCTGTAATGAGTAAAGACGGTCGACTAATGCTCTCCAGTGAGCAGCCGTTAAGGTGGCTGGAACAGACAGAGAAGAAGAGTGGTCAAATTAGCAACTGATATACAGCCTATAATCTTGCTTACACAAGTATGTTATTGTGTCTGTTTACATTTCTCTCTTATGATTGAAGTCCACTGCATAAACTATCTCCTCCTCTCCGTCCTTGACAATTTTCCAAATGGTGCCTCCAATCATGTGTCCGGCTGGGAGAGGAGTGATCGACAGACCATGCCCCTTTCCTGAAACACAAAGAAAATTACTTATTAAAAAAATCATCTTCTTACGTAAGGTTATAGAAAATGGGGTGTCACTTGATTTTCATCTCACCTTTCAGACTGACAATCTGTGAGTATTTCAGCTGCTGGATTTTATCAAAAGCACTGTCCACGTCATCCAGGGTGAAGAGCGTGAAATTTTCACTGTTGCTTCTTGACTAAGAACAAGAAAAGAGCATTCAAGGAATCAGTTCTGTTGTTGCAAATAAGACATTTATTTGCCTTAACTTGCAGTACTGTACCTGATATAGATCATACATGAACATCTGACCCATTTTGTAGACAGGAATGGTGGCATAAATGGTGCAGTTCAGTCCCAGTTTGCCCACAGCATAGGGCAGGGCTCCCAGGTGAATGGGGTCAGGGTGCGACAGCAGGACTGCATCAACCTGATGAACATATCTGACAGCAAAAATGCAATACAGAGATTAAAAAAAAAGTTAGAAGCATCTACAAACAATTTAGATTTAGCTCCTGAAAGTTATTCTGAGTTTTTCATAACTTAGCAGTCAATAAGATTTTATTGAAATGTAACTTGATTTAATCTGATTTGGTTACATCTTTTAAAAAACATATTTCAGCAGTGTAGAAAATCATCTTATCAACTGATGCACAGTCAATATATTTGAAAAGCACTATGGGTGCAAACTCAGTGAGTATCTCAAACTTTTTTTGTGGCCCACAAGCACAATTTATAAAAAGCTTTTCTTTTTTGTTTGAGGAACACCAGATTTTGAATCCTGTCTGGTGTAATTTGACCCATTTTCAGGTATTGGTCAGAACTTTTGGATCAGATGCACCTTCCTGATTTAGTTTTCATATCAACCTGAACATGTACGAGAACAATGTTCTGCCCCACTGAAAATAAAAGAATGCAACAGCTTTCTGTGTGTAGTGTTAAAGCCGAAACGCAGTACATACATGAAACTTTGACATCTGTAATCATACTCACCGCTTCATGGCATCAATGATGTCCATTGAGAAGTTCTCGTCCCATCCACAATCCAGGAGGAAGCGAAATTCATCCACCTGCAGCAGGTAGCAAAGAGCCGATTCCTCCTGGACCCCCGACACGGCTGTCAGCTTGATAATGGAAGTCATTTTTCCTTTACTTTTCTCAACAAAAGCACAAACCCGTCTTCATCAAACCAACTTTAAATGTCGAGTCTCTGTAACAATGGCTAACTACAGAGAATCATTCAAAGGTAAACAAAAATGTTTTTTAAAGCAAAATTCCACAAAATGGAATACAACATGAGCTGCATTAGAATGAAGGTAAATATATGTAACAAGATCAAACTTGTATCCAGTTTGGCTTTCACGATTGTTAGCCGTTTACCGGGCAACGGCTATTTATAATGCTAGCTACATGCTAGGTAGATAACTAAAAGAAGGCAGAAAACATCACAAAGCGACAGAATATAGCATCAAATACATATATCCTTCTTTTGAATATTAGAAAGTAACCTTAAAGTTATTATTTATTTTTACTTCAAAATCAAGACTTTTCTGTTAGCGGGTTTGAAGCGGCCATTTTGGCTGCTACGTCATAGGTGAAAGGGTAAAGAAACGTACCAAATAAAGTTATAATAAATCTGTGAAAACAGTAAATAGGACGTTATCGTACTATATTCAATGGATTCTATCAAAAACACAGGATTAACTTGTATCTTATTGTAAATAAATTTCGAACAGAATCCTTGTAACCGTGTTATTGTTTAGCATGAAGACGTCGTTGATCCACACTTGGTACAGTCCAATGTCCTTCGCTTAGAGAAGGAAGACTTTACGGCTACCGTTTGGCGTTAACATAAGGTATTATTTTAAAGTTTTCCGTTCATTGTCTTCCTTATTGTGTGCCTTTAATTGGTCTTACATATTTGTCTCACTGACATAGATATTCATGTAAAAACCAAAATAATCTTTCTTACTTATATGGCGTTAGTTGCTAATGCCAGTTAGCTGCCATGTTAGCAGTGCGTGAACTTGTTAATAAATATTGCTTCGCGTCATTTTTACAGGATTTCGCTGATGGACAAACCAAACCAAATAACCAAATGAAATGATATGCAGCATAATTTTAAATTGATTTTGTGATTGATTTGAGTAGATCTGTAAATCTGTAATCAAGTTTGCTTGTCATTGACAAAACACATCAACAAACTTAACATGTTTCCTCTTAAACCCGTTTTCTAATAAGTGTTGATTAAATAAGCTACTTAAAGATCATTAGAGGCTCCTCATTTACTTTGTACTATTTGAAACTAGATCAAAAATTAATTCTAGTTTGTTTTCTGGACTAACAAACCTCATCAACGCTGTGAAATTTAAATCTTACGGATTTTTTGTATGCATTTAATGGTAGGGTTTGGAATCGCCTGCAAACATCTTCCTTTGACCTGAGGTTGTTTTAATGGGCAAAACGTTAAGAAAACTGTCTCGGAATTTTCCTTTCACATTTAAAATATTTGAAACGATTTGTGTTTTACATTTACAGCATCTTGAGTTGAAGAATTCAGATCCAACTAAAATTAAAGTGATTTGTGTATTCACAAGGTGTATAACAGAGAGCTATTGTAAGGATGATGGAAGTACAATGTAGGATTAATAAACCAAAAACTTTTTACTTATCTTTATTTTTCAATAACACATGAAGAAGGCGAAATTAAAAACACTTTAGAAACATCCTGTGTAAACTTTTATATTTCAATATTAATAATGTACCCCTCATCTAAAGAACAAAACCTGCTAAAAATGTAGCATTGTTTTTGCTTATCTGTAATTAATGCCTCATTCTTAAAAGGGAAATATTTCACTCCACTGTCACCTTGTTGCTTACTCAGGATGCAGTGAAGACAAGTTTTGATGCAGTTTACTGGCTTCCTTAGACATTTTGTTACTGACTGAGCAAAATTTGGAATAAAATTTCTGCTGAATTAAATTAAAATTGCTTCAGCATCACAGTCCTGTGATTAAAAAGAATGAAAATGCCTTAGGATGCCATTTTTTGTAATTTGATGTGAATAAAATAGCGCTCATTTAAATAATAATAATTAAAAAAAACATTACTTTTATTTTCCAACATCTCAGATCACTCCCTCATCTTTTACCCTGCTGTGGTTGTAGGAACCATGGTCAAATTCGCATTACCAACCAGTGTGAATTGGGCACACATATTGGTTCCCATGGGCTTTGTGATTGGATGGTACCTTGACAAACAACAGGACCAGAAGCTGACAGCATTCAGAAACAAGAGTGCACTGTACAAGAGGTAAGAACTGTAATTACTTTTGCCTCAAGTCCATTTTGAAAACCCAAACTGTATTTCAAGTGCTAATCGTACCATATTTTGATACAATCTTTTGAACCTTGAATATTTTGCCCCTTGCAGAGAGTTGAAACCTGGTGAGGAGGTGACCTGGAAGTAGACGCTTCACTGCTTGTAAAGTTCCATCTGTTTAAGTGTGAATGAATAATGATGAGTGGCCCTCAAGCTGTAATGTTGAAGGAGACTGATATACACCTTATTTTGAGTTGTATCAACTAAATAAAAATGTCTGTTCTCAAAAACTTTTTATTTGCTAGTATGTTTTTTATGCATCAAAAAATCTAGGAATGGCACATTCATGAAAATAACAGATTCAAAAAAACATTATTTTAGACCAAGTATTATGGTGTAGATCTTATTTTAAACAAGCATTAGATTTTACAATGTGGTCATTCTGACTGAACAGCTGGTGGGGCCTGAAGAGGTTCAGAAGTGTGGATAATGCCCTTCTCAAAAAGAAGTTCAGCCAAAGCAATCTGGGAAAAAAGCATCAGCAATTAATACATAACTCATATATTCATTATGTCAGTAAATATTGTTTCAAATAACATAGAATCCCACCTTATCCTGAACAGAATCACAAGGCAAAGTTCCCACTGTCACAAAGTTGGGATACGAATGGATCAGAAACTCAACAGCATCTGTGTGCTGAAAGAAGTAAAAAAATAATAATAATAAGGTAGATGTAATCTGAACAATGTGCAGAATAAGAATTAAGACACACAAAACAAACATACCTCTGTTTGTATTTCAAAGCTCTTGGGCTCCTCTTTATGGTAAACTCTGGAGTTATCGATGGTGTAGCAAAGGTGCACGGCATCTCCATCGCCATATAGTCTGGCACAAAAAGAAGAATTGGTAAAATGTATTTTTGCTAAATAAAAATAGAGGAAAGAAAAACAACAACTAAAAGTTTTGCTGTTGTACCTGGCACACCCTGCACGAAGCAGCTTGATCTTGGTCTGAGTAGTGATGTGAACACCAACATTCATAACTTTGCCATTTTCCCACCTAGACGGTGCTCCTTGCACGCTGGTGGCCAGCTCATCTGAGAGCGACGAGATCAATTATTAGCATCTCAAATTGTCCATTCATGCATAATCTCATAAGTTACAGCACACACCTGGAGTGAGCACAGGAGGCAGGCAGTCGTGAAAGAATTCTTTGGCTTTCTGGTCGACAGCAGCGTCCACCGGGGCGAAATTCGGGAGTTTCTTAATCAACTTCTCAACCCGAGACAAGAAATCTGCCCTCCGTGGGTCCGCCTGCACAAGAACAATTTCACTCACTAAGAGTTGCAGTTTTGGTAAAAAGTTGCTAATGAAGTTATTATGAGCATAAATGTAATTAATTCAGACATTTTGAGCCATTCTTTTTACAAGATGGCATGATTACAGCACATAATTGCAATTATTTTTTAAAACAAAAAAACTTATAAAAACAAAAAGTCTGAATTTAGAGTTGAGCTAAAGAAATGCTTATATATTATGAAACAGACAAACATCAGCTAAAATTTTTTTTAAAATCCACCAACCAATTACAGTAAACTTTCTAATTTCCAATTAGAATATCCAAAATCACACTGATGGGTACAAAAAAAAGAGTAGTCAAGGTGCACTACTGAGACATGTTTAAAATGGAAAAAATAATAAAAATGGTGGGAGTGCGTGTTTATATTGAGTCAGTATATATATTACATAAAATTCCCAAATTTCACAACTACTCATTCAATTTTTGTTTTAAAAAATCCTTAATTATGTTCCAAGGAAGTCCAGAATGAGTTAATATAGCAATAATGACCTTATCTGAATTTTGCACTCCCATGTAGGTCAGGTAGTTCAAAGGTAAACCTTGTCTAAACTCCACATCTTCCTCCATCGCCACTTCTAATGCAGCAGGAATGACCTAAACATGAAATCACAAAAACATTAAATCAAATAAAACAGCTCAGCAACTTTAATGTTTTTTTTAAGAATGTATTACACACAAAGCAGTAAGGAGTCTACATCAACTTGTTCTATATTTAGAATGTTGCAACGCAGTAATGCAGCTTCCTGCCAGCTATGTTGACTGCGAGACCAAAAGTGCATTTACCTTCTGCAGCAGGTCGCCCCAGCTGTTTTTCTGGTATGAGGAAATGGTGATGTGCAGAGAGTGTGCGTCGGGTAAACAGTTGCCCTGATGGATGAATCCTCGAGGGAAGTAGAGGAGATCCCCGGCTTCCAGCACCACATCCAGGATGGGCTTCCCAATCTCTGCCTGGTCAAAATTTGCTAGAAAGGAGAACGCAAAATGTCTGATGCATTCTCACCTCCACAATATCAAATGTGCTGCATATCAAAAGAGTTGATTCACTTCTGTCATCATAAAATTAGCTTGTTTTTTCTGTGAAAAAGGTTTTGGAAAAGGAATAAAAAGCCCTGGCTTAATTTCAGGTGAGGTAAATAATGTCATTGCGAGAATCAATAACTTTTTGGTACTTACGGCTAGAGAGCACAGGTAAGACTTCATCTTCAGATCTAAAGATGTAAAAAAATAAATAAATAAACAAAAAGTTATTTCTCCCCAAAAAATTATTTATATAATTGATACATATCTACCAGAAATTTTGTCAACAATCCAAAATGTTGGCTGCTCTTGCCTCAAATTACTTCCACTTTATATACGTATAATAAAAACTGATCAAGATATTTCTTGTATCAAAAAAAAGTACAATTAGAAGTTGAAAAAAATCCAAAAAGTGCAGCATGCCTTCATATTTAACCCCCTTTATTGATGCAAATATATAGAAGAAGATGCTTGGATCAGATTAGAGTAAAATGTAACTTTTCTCCCCTATAAAACATGCTGGTGGGTGGCAGTATCATGCTGTCAGAATCATTTTTTTCAGCAAGAACAGGGGAGCAAGTTTCTTTTCAAAGAAAAAAATAGGCACCATTAAATTCTTAAAAATATATAAAATATATTTTTATTGTTATAGAAGAACAGATGAACTTGAAGCTTTTTGAGGAGTTTAAACCTTAATGAATTTTACCTCGGACTGTACACTCGCCAGTGTTTCTTCCCTTCCAGCTGAATCACAAAAGCTTCAATGTCGTCGTAATGAGGAGCAAAACCTTGAGTTCCCGGAGGCGTCAGATATCTGGCCGAAGAAAAAAAGCTTTTAAAACTGAAACGAACAAGAAAGAAGTTTGAAGCAAACAAGTTTTTTCCCTTGAACTTACACATTGGCTCCTGCCATGCTACCAAATTTCTCCTGGAGGATGGAAAGCACATTCCACACTGTGGAGGAGAAAGCCTGGGGATTCAGGAGGCGCACAGAGCAGCCACTCTACAGGAAAACAGATGAGAAAATATCAAGTCATTTAGAAATTTAGTTCAATAACTTCAATACAATGTAAATTAGTATCTCTAACTTCTTCATGGAATATGATCATTTCTTAATGCATTCCTTAGACAAATTGCAGCTACAAAATGACACATAAAAGTTATTAGGAATATTTGCACTCAGTGCATAAACAAGCATAAAATCTGAACTGTCCCATTCTTACCTCATAAAAATCCCACACAGTGAACGGCAGAGCTCTCCCTGGAGGGTTGTGCGTTTCCCTCTTGCCATTAACGTAGCTCGTGATATCCAGGTTCACTCCATACTGGACATTTTCCTTTAGAAAAATTATACAAATTCATAAGGCATGCTGTTTGTTGATGCAGACAGAAAAAAGTGGTAGATTTAAATGTTTGCATAAGTTATAAAACAGATATTTCAGTGTTTGACTCACTGATCACCAGTTAGTGGTGATCATTTGATAATTGGCCGACGGATTTGTGCATCGTTTCAGAAAATTACCTTTCTCAATATACGGTCAAACTCAGCTGTTGAAAACAATCCCTTGTAGTAATCTGGATTCTTGCGCTGAACGTAGACAGGTTTCTTTTCCCATGTTTCCCTTCACATTTAGAAAAAAGACAAATAAATCACCTTTACGGAAACAAATGAGGCAAAACATAAAAATAAATACAAACTGTATGAGATTTTGAAGTCCAAGTAAGATGATATATATTTTCCAATTTACTTGTGTGGTGTTTGTCACAAGCACATTTTCTCCAGTAGGCATTTAGCAAAATTTGGCAAATTTGCAACTAAATGGCATAAGAAGCCCTCAAGGCTCCATTGATTGTTTGTGGGGAAAACAAATGCTGGTCCATCTGATATGATCCCAGTAGGAGAAACTGTAGGACAAACAGCTGAAAATATAAATGCTGACGATGACAAAAGCATTACAGAACACACAGTGCTTTCCACAGATGGAAGCACTGACAAAGAATATGGGGACAAGCACGCCAGCAGGTCACTGCATATCACAGCATTTTCTCACACACACACTCCTGCAGACCTGCTGCAGGTAAATCCATACGTTTAACCATACCCACTGATAATAGTTCACTTTATGTGCTATTTAGTAATAACAGAAATGTTAGTGTACCATGATAAAAAATGCGGAGTTCAATCTTCTTGGACTTATATAGAATGGAGCATCACCAGGATGTGCAGAAAAAAACATTACTTTTAGATAAGCCAGTTCCTTGCAAAAACATTATTACCACCAACTTGCTGCATTTAAATAAAAGTATGAAAAGTACGGCATCTATTTCTATTCTGCCCTATTTAATGGACTTCGATGTAACCAAACTGCATCGAAAGTGTGTAACTTATTATTAATGTAAACGCAACTGTTCTCTGTAGATTCTCAGATGTTTTTTGACAAACAAACAGCGTCATGAAGACCAAGAAACAAAGCAGACAAATGATGGATTAATATGGAGCTGCAGATTCAGAGGTCAGCTGGAAGAATTTGCCAGCAGGTTATGTAGTGGTCACGTCAATGTTCTGGTTCTATGAAAAAGTAACGAGAGAGGAACACATAAAGGCATCCTGATTGCAGCTCTGTAGAGGTTAAAGCTAATTAGATTAAATTTAACTGTTTTGCCAACATGCAAAACCTGATGAACATAGGGGAGTGGTACAAAACTAATGCAGCAAATCATTCTGGAGTACCACATTGTAGTGGCTGTGAGGGTTCAATTAATGCAGAGCATCTTACAAATGTAGTATCATACAGACACTTTACCTGAAGAAGAACTTGGCAGGAACGGGTTTGAGGAACCACTCGAATAATTTGCTGGCTCTCTCTTTGCTGTTGTTAACTCTGGTCAGTTCAGTGAGCACATCACCCAAAGACTCTGCAGTTACACTCTCCTCCCTCTGATCCTCCTTCAGCTGCTTTAACAAACACAAAGGCCCAATCTGGTTCACCCACACACACTCAACAACACTGATTTACGCTCAAACACTGAGAGGATGCTTACAGTATTGTGTGGTCCAGTCTCCTTACTCTCCTCTTTATTTGTTGCCTTCAACTGTTTACTGCGGATCTTCCTCCTCTGGGCCCGAGTTTGCTTGACAATAGCAACTGCAGACCCATTTACTTTTTTCTTTTTCCTTTTTACTTTCACCTAATTAGTAAAAAAGAGGTTAATTTAAAGTGCCACACAATAACGATGCATTCGATGCGAGGAAACACGAATATCATGATGTGTTCCTACAGCTACTAAGCCATATATATATATAAATCTTTCCGTCGGGTATTAATGAAGCCTGTACACACACCTGTACCCGCTGGCAGGGCTTTTTACCCGGAGGGGGCAGCTCTGACTGCAGAGTCTGATACAAAGCAAAAGCAGACATGTGTTTACACTCCACGCGCTCCACACTTAGACTGTTTCTGCAACCGCTGGATTGGTACGGCTGAGTTTCAGGTAACTCATTACTGCCACCAACAGGGCGGGAGCTCGAAGGAGGACTGACGCTCACGCCAAACTTCTAAAAATTAACCAGCACGCTAATGATAATTTCATAAGTATAAATTATTTAGTTTTGTTTATTTATTGATTAAAATATTTTCTTATTGTTATTCCATCACTTCAGCTGACTCCTTTTTGGTGCCAGCTCTTTGAAATAAGCTCATTCAACAGACTGGCATAGTATCAGGATTACTGCAGATAAAGTCCCAATCCATATATATACAAAAGGTCCTGGCTTAAAGAAGCCACCAGAACACATCTTCAGCAAACAGCAAATATGAGATCCTGAGGTTGCCAAACCAGTCACCCACCCTTTCCTATACCTTAAGATCTTGTCAGTGAACACCACAAACATGATCGGTTACAAGGGGGCAGTCATGACAGAGTCCAATGCATACTGGAGCAAGATCAACTTTACACTGAGAATGTGGGCGCAGTTCTTGGTTGGGGCATACAAGGATCGATAGCCTTTAAAAGCTACCCAGACACTCCATACTCCCTCAGCAGTCCCCACAAAATACCTTCTCCACATCCACAAAACACACACTAACCATTAGTTAGCAGAACACTAACCCTTATCGGCAATAACAGTTACTACATGAAGTTAATTCACTGAGAGTTAAAGTGTATTTCCTTTTCCTGGTTAACAGTAGCATATATAATAATTTAAAATATATTTGCATAAAAGGGATTTCACGTTTTTTGAAAACACCAGAAAGGACAATTAATGAAAGTATAAACTTTTGCACATGGAAGTTAAAGTTAAATTCCAGTTTATTCTCTCCTTATGTGAAGAACAACAGGAAATAGATTTGGTTTATGGTTTTTAATTTAATTGTTAATGACATCAATCTAATATGGCATTAATAGCCAGAATGTAATAGAGCTTTAGTTTGTTAGGAGAAATGAAGGTCATAGAGTTCTACAGTTTATTACTTTAGCCAAAGTTATAATGGAAGCCCAGGAGACGCAGATTGCAGACTCCTTGGTCCACAATGCGCCATAAAAGTGGATCACGTCCAGACCGACCACCAGGGGGCGCAGTTTCTCCACCTTTCTACCGCTGCCTTTAATGGCATTGCTCTCCCTCGTTTCCCAGAATGCCTCACTGCTTGCAGTCAGTGGTGTTTGTGCAGCCGTCGCTCCAACAATGCAGCTTTTAATGGAGCTGTGAGATGGAAACGCAGCAGCACCGCCAGGCTGGCCGGGGACCGTAGCCACTCAGATTTAACACTGTCACACTTCTCACTATCTCTCCGTCCACTTGGGGGAGGAATTAGCCTCTATTTCCAGGACGCACTTTCTGCTGGAGGTGAGTAGCCTTTGAAGCTAATGTTGATCTTGTATCGCAGGACAGAGTAAATACATTTTGTTGTGACCACTGCTGGCTAACACTGGCTAGCTGTTCGGCCAGATGAGGCGGTTTGTGCATGAACACCTCCTTTTATCTTCAGGAGGGTGATATAATGCCGTTTTCACGCCTTTCTACTCAAGGTGTTGGTTATGTTACTGGTTTGAGTCAAAGGGGGGTATGAAGAGGGTTTCTGGAGCAGCTGCAGAAATGTTTCGCGCTGATTTCAGTAGAAATCACACGTCAACCAGCCGGTGTAGCTGCTACTGCTGCTGCACAGAGATGCGGTCTGCTGCCCAATGCATATCTAGGCTGCAGCTTTAAACATTTATTCTTTCTACAATAACTCAAACTTGACCATAACCCCACATTCCTCATACCTACCTATTTGACGCTCCAGTATGCCGCAAGTGACATAACATGCATAATGGTGAAATAGACTCTTCAGCTGTCTTTACTGACACTACAACTTAAATCAGTTGTTAAAGGGTCATAGTACACTGTCAATTCTGCATTTTTTTAAAAAAACTTTCAAGTTATAAGTTATTCCGTTAACCTATTTGCTATAATTAAATTACATATTAACTTTTGTTTTGTTAGTTTGTAAAGACCATTTTTTTCTTTCCCTTATGAACTGCTTTGTGTCAGTCACATTGAAATCCCATTAGAATAGATTGAGTTTTGCACATTACAAGACTTGTAATGTGACAAGTATTCCATGCACTTTAATTGAATATTCACATTTTTTCTTTAATGGCTTATCTTGTTATGGAAATGTATTTTTTGTTATTGCAAATTGGCCCCATTTGTTACAGACCTTTTTTCTCACCCCTCAGCCGCATAGCAGCCCAATGTCTGGATATCACCTGATAATGCTCATGTCATTTGCATGGTGGAAATAAACAAATGCAGCTCAAACCATCTGGAAATATATATTTTTTCCCAGCACAGAGAATATCTGTTTAGCACAGAGCAGCTGGAGGCCAGGTGTTATTGGACTACCCAGTCTGAGTAAAGAGCAAATTCATTCAACGGTTATCTTGGTCTGCGCTGTTTGGTCAGAGTTGTATGCTCACTGCAAGGGCAGTTGATCTCGGGGACTCTCGAACTAGTTAACAAATAGAGCCTCACTAGAGTTTTTTTCATTATTTTTTGTATGTAGAAGTATTTTTTACATTTTTATTATTGAGCCCTTCAAAGTGCACTCTACCACTGACCCCTGCCGATAGGTATGAGTGGAAGTAAGAAAGTCAAAAATTAACCATATGTCATGTGCAAGCTAAGCTAGGGATTGATTGTTTGAATCCTGTATAATTCTGCATAGTCAATAGTTTGTGTAAGATGCTTTCTGGAATTGTGCATTTCCTAGTTGCTGCTTGTTGAAGTTACTTAGTTCTGATATTTTTTTTAAGTTGTTTTTCTGTAGACTGTTTTTCATAATTTTATGGATTGAGAGACATCATTTAATTTCCCTTTGGGTGAAATGAAATGTGTTTTGAATTTTAACTTGTATGATTTATGAAAAATTATCTTGTTTGTGCGAAATGTGGGATTTGTGAGACACATGACTGAATTAAACACAACTTGTGTTTCGATTTTTTTTTTATCAAGAAAGTTCCCTTTGTATGTTAATGTTTCTTTTGCTATTTAAGCTACTGTAATTGGACTACTTGGAATAACTTTATTTTATTAAAGTAGACTCACACTGAGAAGTCAGTGTGTGAGTTTTATGTAAGTTGGAAAATTATTCATGCTGTGACATTTTGTCATGCTACAAACACTAACTTAAAAACACTAAATTTATTTTAGATTTTCAATATACAAACTCAAATTTGTGCCTTATTGTGAAGTGAAAGAAACATAATAAATGGTGGTGTGGATTTCCTTTAATCCCTTCTGAAGCAGCACTTTCAGAATCTTATTCTTTGGGTATGTTTCAGAAAGTTTTGCACATCTAGAGGTTACAATTTTTTTTCTTTGCATAACTGTCAAATTTGCTGGAGAGTCACAGATTATCTTGACTTTGCATCAGGATTCCTTTTCCTGGATGTTTTTGGAGTCTCTACCAGGTTTTCTTATCTACCTGTCTCTCCCGAAGAAAGGATCCCCACTGCAGGATGCCAATGCAACTGAGTTTTTCATTGCGAATTATATTTTCTTCGATGCGTAGCTCTTTGCATTTAGCCCAGAAATAAAAAAACAAACAGACATTTTGGTCTCATCTGACAAGAGCAAAGCTTCTCTCCGATTTAAACTTCTTCACAACTTTATGATCTGACCTGCCTCCTCTGTTCCTTTCCTTTATAATGCTGTTTGCTCATTATTGTTCACTAACAAACCTCTGAGGCCTTCACAAAACAACTAGAATTGCACGAGAATTAAGTCACATGAGCTCTAATTACATGACTTATAAATATTTATAACTATAATTATTTAGTTTCTCTGTAATTTATTTATGGTTCTAAGGAAAGAAAATTGGATAAATTCCTTGTAGCTATTTTTTTTGGTTTATTCCATAAAACACCACTAAAATGGATGGAGTTAAAATGGATGGTAACATAATAAAGTCTGGTTGCATTCAAGAAGCATGAATACTTTTTTGTGTCCTGTGTAGCAAGCTGCAATATTTGTAATTTGAACTTTTCTGGTTTTAAGAATATAATGGACCAGAGTGTGAATTTATATGTGCCACACAGAGCAGCATGTAGTCCATTGTGGACAGAAATATTGATCTTTTTCTCCGAGGATTGACTCCCATGCTTTGCCTGAATTATTTCTGTTTCCTTGTGGTCACGTTTAGCAACAACAGTAAGCTCTAAATTTTATTATGAGAAACTCCACTTGTTTAAAATATTCCAATAACAATATATTCTCATTCATCTCTGTCATTTAAGCTCAGAAAATGTTGATATAAACATTTACTGTATTGGTCTCTTTCTGTCCTATAATAATTTTCAATGAAGATGCTACTAAATACATCCTTTTCTGATTCAAATCTTGCATTTCTTAGCAGACATTAACATTTTTTAAAACTCTGCGTAGGTGTTCCCACTTCCAGATTTCTGCTGTGGCTCGCTGAAACCCTTCATTAATATTATTAGTTACACCTGTGCTTGTCCTTCCTGCTGTCAAGAGCCAAAATGTCTTCAGTCTGGCTGGGGAAAAAATCCAGGCGGTTGGATGCTTTTGCAGTTCTGGTGAAAAGTTGGATTTGAGCTCATGAGAATTAATGGCATGTAAATTTTGGGTTGTTAATGATCTGTTTAAATCATTCTCATTTTATTTTTAAATTCTCATACATTGATGATTTTTACATGAGAGTTTAGGGTTCAAGTTTGATGTGTATTATTGTTTTCCTTAAGTCGGACATGGCCAGATCTGTATTCAGGGTCAAATTTACACTTAATGTCTCTGCTTACCTGTTAGAGATTATTTCTTTAACCTTCCAATTTCCTTGAATTGTTCTTTTCTACCAAGGCGTAGGGATCTGCTCCAGAACTGATGAATTGAATTTGTAAATATGCAGCTGCTTGCATGGACAAGATAAATCTTGTATGGAGAAAAGTTTTTAGGTTAATTGAGACAAAGTTTGAAGTGTTTCATCACAAATACATTTGGAGAAACTAAGATTAGGCTTATCTACCAGAAATGGTGATGGTAGCATCATGATGTGGGGCTGGTTTACCAGCAGAGAGACGTCACACAAGACAAACAGAATATGAAGGTAGAAGGTTGTTGATGCTCAGATGTTTTCCTGAAAAAGCCAATTGAACTTTGTTTTGGTTGCCTTGTGATCCAGAACAGATCACATTTGCAGTCTAATTGGTGATGAGGGGGGGAAAAAATTACTGCTGGAAAATGTATTAAATGCCTGTTGTCTGGTTTCAAACTTTTGTGCTTTTCTCCTGAAGGGGTTTGATTATTTTGTGCTGTGATAATTCAGCATAATTCATGGTTAGACATTTGTCTGTGATGACACAACATTCATTAAAGCTGCACTGACATGCAGATAGTCCTACTCTGTGTTATTAGTTTGTATTCTTCATTTATAAGTCTCGTTGTTGCAGCGTTTTACTGAACATATAGACACAACACTGCAGTTTTCCTTTCCATAAAGAAGGACTGCAGAAACAGTTCAGTTTAGGAGCTGCTATCATGTGTCTGGGAAAAAAGTAATGCCCTCAAGCATTGCATTTTTATCTTGTAGATTTATTGTGTTTTTACTTCCTCCTTTGTGGTATTTCTAAGCTTGTTCTTAGTAAACAGAAACACGATTCACCTAGAACAGATTTTTCTTTCTGCTTATCCTCCAAGAAGCAACGAGTTCATAGACCTAAAGGCAAAGCTGCTTTTAAGAAAAACAGCACTGAAAGCAAAAGAAGACGGTGTGACACATGAATAGTTTCATAATGCTTCCCTGACAGGATTGTCTGTTGCTTTGAAGTAGCATGAGCATTTCCAGAAAGTCTGTTTCATTAGTGACTTTTAAAGGTTTTGGAGATATAAGGCAACCCAGATTCAGGGTTTTAGTCAGCTAAAATACAGAACGACAAGGCAGAAACGTTGAAGATTGGAAAATTAATTGCTCTGTGCTAAAGGTTTGAAATCTATCGACCAGAATGCCAAGGTCGGCATTCTGGCCGACCTTGGTTTCTGTTGGAAAAGTTAAGTTTTGTTCCAGATGTTTATTGAATAATAGGTTATTTAGTTCAGTTTTTCACCAGAAGATGGAGAGAAATCAATAGCATGAGTGAAATTTCTGTTGAATGCAGTTTGTTCTTGTTTGAGAACAGAAAAACTGCTGTTGAATAAAAATAAATAGTTTTAGCTTTGTCCATTTAAGCAGATAGTGACTGCTTTTTTAGCATTGAGATTATTGAGATTTGCTTCTGATGAGGAATCTTTAAGTCTATATAACTTTTAGGTTCAAATTAAGAACAATATATTGAACTGATTTGATT